TATACAAGTTAATTTCAGTATTATTTTGCGATATTTTTTTTTTAATATTAAAAATTAGCATCTTTCTGTAACATAAAATATAAGCTGGTGAACGATGATTTAAAATATGAATTGGTATAGTATAAAAGTATTTTTTCATCAATATATTTAAATACCTGTAATTGATTTGTTTAATTAATTAAACAAAAGTGTCGTTTGAAATCATATGACTATACTTATATAAATGGATCAATTAATTAATTGATTGATATATAGTATATAAATTGAAAGAAATATTAAGGCAATATTAAGAGAAAAATAGAAAATAATATTGTATCGATCTTCCTACAATGTTAAGTTTTGTCTAACTTACGATTAATTTTCTGTATATGTAATCGGATAAAAGTAAGATTCAAAACTTGTAACTTTTATATATTTTAATTTATTTGCCATCATATGTTGAGAGATTGTAAATTATTTTTGGTTATTGTACTGTAAGTGTAATTAAATAAGAAACAAAATACAAGTATTTATGTTAAAAATGTGGTCAATTATTTTATTTGCAAAATTCTTTTGTAATATTACGTTTATTTAAAATAATCATATGTGCGATTATCTTCAATTTATATTTGACATTGAATGCATATTTTAAGCAACATTTGTACAGCGCTTGTATGTATATAATTTAAAAAAGAAATTCCCAATGTACAAATTTTATAAAATACATTAATTATATCAAGTTACGAATAATGAAAAAATAATTGAAATTAGTAGAAAAAAATCAATTTATATATTTATATACACTACTGAATTAAAGTATTAAAGTATGATTATAAAAATCTGATGACAATGTAAGAATTCAGTATGTTTGCAATTTTTCTTAAATTACAAGTATTTCAAAGTAATTATTCTCAAAGAAAAAGAGAAGAACAAAGCAACATTTTGTTGACTGTAAAATTTGTTTCCAAAACAAGCCTAAGATATGTTATGAATCAACAAGACTCTTAGAAGACTTACATTTATACAAAAAATGATTGAAGAAGTCAGTACTAAGAATATGAAACAACTTTATGTCATAAAATTTAATTTAATAGAATTACATATTCTCACCTCTTCTCTTTTTCATTTGACTACTCGGTATGAAATAAATTAAGCAGCATGTGCAACTGATATTCTTATGTCTTTGTGAACAGGAAGTTTGATGGGATCAGGTGTACTGGGAAATGGTGATCAAAGTGCTAACTCTACTCTGGTCTCTGCGTCAACTTCAAGCACGGCCCCTATTGTCTCTGCCAATAATGGAATTTACTCATCAGATGGTAGTGCCAGTATGCTAAATTGCTTATTACCGTCGTTACCATCTTTGCCTTCTCTATCTTCTCCGCACGACATGTTTCGACATGGTGAAATGTTGCGAGTTGGTATTGCGTATCACGACTCCTCGAGGCAACATCTCAAACAGTCACAGCGCACCGATGTCACCTAATTTATATATTAGTTCATGAATTCATATTAGTTCATGAATTCGCTTTAAATATTAATTCATATTAGAAGATATTGTAAAGCTGTATATGTCGAATTTCGTTTAGTATTGAGGGCTATATTAAAAAATTGTACAAGTATGTCTGTCTCGCTGCTATAAATTTTGTAAAAATATTTTTTATATCGAATCACGTTTTGCAAAACATTCCTTACTTTGAGATTCTGTAAATTATTGTATTTCACAGTAATGTCCAGAAAGATGAAATTATATGATACGTGAGTTGCAGTTGCATCGATATATATCTTTGAAAGTTGTGTGATGTTATCTATTTAAAAGAAATAAAACTTGCAGTTAATATTAAACGACGTTGAATTTAAGTAATGAAATAGAATTATTCGGCGGAGAATTTTAATTTATATTTTTATTTCAACTTCAATTTGTAAAATTTAATAAAATTTTAATTTTATTTCTTGATGTCACAGATATGTGATACAAAGTTAGTGTTAATTTTCTATTTGATTATTTGTCAATAACAATGAATTATTCAGAATTTTTATGATATCGCGAGAATTGAATACAATATAGGCGAACAGAATCGAGATGAAAGAATACCTATCGAATATTTTTTACAAAGAAATTGAAAAATTCGAAAACATCACTTTTCAAAAATGTATGGTAAATTTGTTCTTTGAATAGATAATTGGGTTGTCTCTTAGTAAGAAATTTCTCCTAACAGGACTTTAAGATTAATGTTAGACCAGGCTGAATTCTTGTAAATAAAAATATAATATTAATGTAAGTATGTACGATAAAAATATAATGATATATTAAAAATAGAAAATTTCTAGATACATAAAATATTAAGTTTGAGAAAGGTATCGAGAAACTGGATGATGAGTTATTTTTGTTCTTCTTAATCTAATGATAAAAAAAAGATAAAATTTCTAATTATAAATATTCAACAAAAATAATGGAAATGAAATTTTGTTTTATTTTAGTTGTACATTAAAGTACATTTACGTTTCATTAATGATTGTGAGACACTTTTGATAAAAATAAAATGATAAGTAAATTTAGAAATTTGTTATATCCACTAATTGGTGTTAAACTTTATAATATATAGAATATGTAGTTTCATTTATGGTTTTAAATTAATTCTGAATTGTTACTTATAAATTATAATAAATTATAATATATTAAGTATGAACTATTATCATAAATTATGATATATAGAAGAGTGATTTAACATTTTGTTGTCATACATATTGATAATAAATAAGGAAATAAAAGGTAATATTAAATAATAAGTCTTATTGATGAAAATAAATACTGAATGAGTGAAAACTTGTAAGCAACTTAAATAATTAGAAAGTACATTGAAATGTAAAAAATCAAATGTAGTTGTAAGTGGAATGAGTGTAAAAAATTATTATTTCTTACAATATTTGTTTTCGGCAATGAAAATAATTACAAATTATTGTATAAAACAGAATTTTAAAATATATTTTAAGTTATAATATTGAAATACATTAATAGAATTTCATGGACACAGGTACAATATTTTTATGAAATTTTATTTAATAGCTGTAATAGTAATTCATTTATATCAAAAGAAAATTTCATCTAAAATCACAAAAATCATTACAAATGTGCTACATTCAGTCTAATATTTTACATATTTTTATTTATTATTAAAAGTATTGATGAGCAGGTATTTAAATTGATGAGCAGGTATTTAAAAGTATTGATGAGCAGGTATTTAAATTTGGTAATTTTAAAATTTTATAAATGGTAACCTATATTTAGAATTTAAATATTTGATACAAATATAAAATTAAATTATTTTTTATAGAATATTTTAATTAATAAATATTTATTTAAAGATACAAATTTCAAAAAATTAATTTATTTAGTTCATTTGATTAGATAATTACCTAAAATTAATGATGATATTTATAGTAATCAAGAAGGAATGTTAAACGTTTTATTAATTGTAATTATTGTTAAACAACTATATAAACAAAATCCAAAATTAGAACTAGATTTGTTTTAAGTATTAATTTTAAATAAATGATACCTGCCTGTGGTATATTGATTAAGTACTGATACTAATACTGGCAACAGTTCAATAATAGAAATATGAGAATTTTGTACAAGTTATTAAATCACAAAAGGATTTGCGACTATATACATATAAAAATATATTATACAAATAATAATAATAAATTTTTCAAAAGGAAAAAATGTATTCAAGTAATGTATTATTTTCATATTCCAGAGAATATATTTCTTAAAATTCTATTCTCTAAAATATACGTTTAATTTCTATTTGTGCATACAAATAGAAATAGAAATATAGAAATTCATTTTTATAGAAATTTCACGCATTCTTATTTATTAATCATTTGATTTAGATAAACACAACGTTATGGAAAAATTTTCTCTCGTAGAACCAACTATATGCTATATCATCTAAAATTTATGTTACTAGTCAGTTATACAAAAGAAACTGCAAAATTTATTATATAAATTCATCTTGCAACTTTATCTCATCATGAGTTAACAATGGCAGTAAAACACTTCTGGCGTGTTTGTATATTCTTATAAAAATATTTTAAGTAACGAGGTATTATTTCGTAATGTTGAAAAACTTTTTGCTATATTCCACAGTGGAAATAATTTTGTATCGTTCACACGATGAGATTCATTTCCTCCGAATGATCATTTGTACGTCCTATAACAAATGGCCAATTCCTTTTCGAGATCCTTTCCAATTCTCCCCGTAAGAGGTTCAAAAGGTCGTCGAGATATCGTAGATCATGTACTTCTTGTCGCAGTTTACTTGTATTGAGCAAAACATCTGCCATTTTCTCTTCGTCACACTGAAAAATAAAATGATACGAAAATTTAATTATTCTATAAATCAAGGAAGCAATTTATGAAAAATACTTTCGAACAGAATATTTATATTAAATAATTCAATCGTTATTATTTTCTGAGATTGATTTCTT